GGGAATAAATTGACGAGAAAATGACTTTGTGGGGAGGACATGCTCTGTCGGAGGATCCGCTGATTTGGAGAAATAAACTCAGATGGGGATGAATTAACGTTGCTGGTGATAATGAACCATGTTGGCGGTTAAGTTTTTTTTGGTGAAAGGAATGAACTCCGCTGGGGATGATTTTCCAGTTGCGACTTTACTGGGAATAATATTTTAGACTCTACTGGGAACAATCTTCCAGAGTCTACTAGAGATAATTCTCCAAACTCCACTGGGGATAATTTTCAAAACTCCACTGGGGATAATTTTCAAAACTCCACTGGGGATGATTTTCCAGTGCTGATGGTAGATAAACTCTGCTTGGGGAGAATATTGCCGATTCATTCGCGATTGCGAGCCTCAGCTGGGGAGAATTAACACCATATTCTTTCTCTTACTCTGTAGGGAAGGAAAGTACCTTTAATTGCTTCCTCCAACTAGGTCTATCCCTATACCTGGTAGACAGAGCGACTGCACTGTTTGGTCATTTCTTGTTTGCCCCTGTTTCTGATATTACGAGTAATCGTCTTTTGTTTTGCATGTAAATATTTATGAGCCGCAATTATTGTCAAATGCATATATCAAAAATGAACCATTGGATGTTCTTGCAAAACAAAACAGAAAAAGAAAACAATTTTGAAATTTCTTTGTGAAAATGAATTGTATTGATTTTGAAATCAACCTATAAATAGGAGTTCTTTATACAAGAGGCTGACGTCCTAGTAAGAGAACACCGCCGAACAATAGAGTTTATACAATTTATGAAAAAAACAAAGAGAAATAGCTATGTGAATAATCCCACTGGGTTGCAAATCTGCTATTGCCTTTATATCCTCAAGCGTCTCATCACTTTGCTACTTGGTTGAAGGTGGATCTGACTGATTAGTGTCATCCGAGTTTGATAGTCGATACCGAAGTCTGGTTGCACGATGATCCAATGAGGCATAGTGTTACACTTTAATCCCAGATTTTTTTCCTGGACCACCCTTTCGGGTTTTTAGTCCACCGGGATACCTTTTTTGCCCAAGCTGCCTTTTCAGGTTTTTGACTTGCCGGGTGTATAGATTTTTTTATTTTCATCCCTTATTTTTGCCCGAACCCTTTTGGTTCGTCGGGAAGCCCTTATTTTTGCCTAGGCCAGTCAACCTAGCGGGTCTTTGATTATGCGTAGTATTTTTTCACTATGTCTGCATTGACAGGGTGAGGAAGGTCGTCACCATCCATGGTGGTTATAATCATAGCTCCTCCTGAGAAAATGTTCTTAACCACAAATGGCCCTTCGTACGTGGGGGTCCGTTTTCCCCTAGGATCACCTTGTGGAAGTATGATGCGCTTGATCACCAGATACCCAACTTGATACTCTTGTCGTTTACCTTTTTTGTTAAATGCCTTGATCATCCGTTTTTGATACGTTTGACCATGACAAATAGTAGTAAGTATCTTTTCATCGATTAAGTTCAGTTGATCAAGTCGGGTCTGGATCCAATCATCCTCGCTCAAACCTGCGTCCTTCATAATCCGAAGATAGGGTATCTGAACTTCAATGGGCAAGACGGCTTCTATGCCATATACCAAAGAGTAGGGTGTTGCCCATGTTGAAGTCCACGCTGAGGTACGGTACCCATGAAGAGAAAACAGTAACATCTTGTGCCAGTCTTTGTAGGTCACCGTCATCTTCTGCACAATCTTCTTGATGTTCTTATTAGCCGCTTCTACAGCCCCATTCATCTACGACCGGTAAGGAGAAGAGTTGTGATGTTGTATCTTGAATTGCTTGCAGAGCTCGGTGATCATTGTATTGTTGAGATTTGTACCGTTGTCCGTAATGATCCTCTCTGGTACACCATATCGACAGATTAAATTGTGCCGAATAAACCGTGCCACGACGTTCTTGGTCACTGTAGCAAATGAAGCTGCCTAAACCCACTTCGTAAAGTAATCAATTGCTACCAAGATGAAATGATGCCCATTGGACACAGTAGGTCTGATCTCGCCGATCATATCGATGCCCCACATTGCAAAAGGCCAAGGAGCTGTCAAAACATTCAGAGGTACTGAAGGTATGTGCACCTTATCAGCATATACTTGGCACTTATGTCAAGTCCGAGAATGCTGATAACAGTCGGCTTCCATGGTGGACCAATAATACCCTGCCCGAAGGATTTTCTTTGCCATGGTATGTCCACTGGAATGAGTTTCGAAAGTACCCTCATGTAACTCTACCATAATTCTTTCTGCCTCGTTCTTAACCACACATCGCAGTAAGGTTGAATCATAGTTACGCTTGTAAAGAATGCCATTACTGATGAAGAACTTCGCCGCGAATCTCCTCAAAAACTTCTTCTCATTAACAGATGCACCCTCAGGGTATTCTTGAGCCTCAAGATACCTTTTACCTCGTGAAACCAGGGTTTTTCTGTTACCTTTTCAGTCTCAATGTCACAGTAATGTTCAGGTTCGTCCAACCTCTCAACGGTAATCTGGGGAGCCTCATTGTCCCATCTGACCTTGAACATAGAAGACATCGTAGCTAGCGCATCCGCCAACTGATTCTCCTCTTTGGGGAAGTGTTCAAAGGATATCTCCTCGAAATACGGAAGCAACGTCAACACGTACTCTTTGTAAGGAATAAGATTTGGGTGTTTCGTATCCCACTCGCCTTTGATATGACTGATCACGAGAGCGGAATCTCCGAAGACACTTAAGAACTTAATCCATAGGTCAATAGCTGCTCGAAGACCCATAATGCACGCTTTATACTCCGCCATGTTGTTGGTGCAGTTAAAACATAATCGGGCGGTAAACGGAGTATGACAACCTTCAGGAGATATGATCACGGCGCCAATGCCTTTACCCAAAGCGTTTGAAGCTCCATGGAAATACATAGACCATCGGGATCCTTCTTCAGGTCCTTCATCCGGTCCAGGTGTCTCACAGTCAGTCACCAACATGATTTTTTCATCCGGGAATTCAAATTTCATAGACTGGTAATCATCCACTGCCTGATGTGCCAAATGATCTGCCAACACACTTCCCTTAATTGCCTTTTGGGTCGTGTATTGGATGTCATACTCGGTCAAGATCATCTGCCACCTTGCTATTCTTCCGGACAAGGCAGGCTTTTCAAAGATATACTTGATTGGATCCATCTTTGATATCAACAGAGTAGTGTGAGTCAGCATATACCGTCTCAACCGGCGAGAAGCCCATGCCAAAGCGCAACAAGTTTTCTCAAGCAACGAGTATCGGGTCTCGCAGTCGGTAAACTTTTTGCTAAGGTAGTAAATAGCATGCTCTTTTCGGCCAGACTCGTCATCACTACAAGAAAATTAGTGTTTAACGACACAAAAATTGCGACAATTATGTGATAACTGTCGTAATTGACATATAGAGACAATGTTTACGACAGTTGACACCAACCATCCCTAATATTTATTTTGCGACGGTATATTTAACCATCATAATATTATTATTACGACGGTAAAACAATCGTCGGCCCCCATTTAACACTTTTAACATTGATTTTTCACCAACAACTAGTCACGACGGTAAAATTAACCGTCCTAAAAGGCATATCACGATGGTAAAGCACCCGTCGCACCCTTAAACCTTTCACGACGGTAAAATTATCCGTCCTAAAATTCATTTCACGACGGTAAAACAACCGTCGCACCCAAAACCTTTAAAGTTAAACTTACTCATAAAATATCTTAGAATCCCTAATCACAAACCTCATGTCCTCCTCCAACGACCTTCGCTCCCAAGCCGAAAATATCTTCAACCTATGTAAACAAACCTACCCCGATTCCCTAATCCTCAAACTCTCCCAACTTCTCCACACTTCCCCGAACCCTGAAACCCGCACCATGTCCACAATCCTCCTCCGCCGCCACCTCACGCGCCACCACAACGACTCCTTCATCTACCCACACCTAACCGCCTCCACTCAATCCACTCTCCGTTCCCTCCTCCTCTCCTCTCTCCATCAAGAGCCTGTCAAATCCATTGCTAAGAAGCTATGCGACACGGTTTCTGAACTTGCTTCTGCACTTCTCTCCGAAGACCTTGCTTCGTGGCCTGACCTACTCCCGCTTCTCTTCCAGTTGTTTACTTCACCTGACGCTAGGCTTCAGGAGATTTCGCTACTTTTGTTTGCTCAATTGGCTCATTACATAGGTGAAACCCTAATTCCTCAATTGTCTACTCTTCACTCTGTTTTCCTCCGCAGCCTTAGCGCTGCTACATCATCATCAGATGTCCGCATCGCTGCTCTTGCTGCCAGCATCAATTTTGTTCAGTGTCTCTCCAATCCCTCTGACCGTGACAGGTATTACATATTCCAATTATGCTCCTATTTGAACTAACTTGAATTGAACGAATCCATAGGTTTCATTCCAAAATTGAGATGTGTTTAGTTATGTTGTCTATAGTGCAGATTTGAACTATGCTCCAATTTGGACTAACTTGGAATGAATTTATAGGTTTAATATAAAACTTGAGATGGACTTAGTTATGTTGTCAATAGCATGCAATAGCAGTGCATATTTGAATTATGCTCCAATTTGGATTAACTTGAACTGAACGAGTTTATAGGTTTCATATAAAAATTGAGATGGACTTACCTTTTGATTATTGTTGATAGATCTGAATTATGCTCCAATTTGGATGAACCTTAAAACTGTGTTGTCAATAGCACGAATTGGCATTGCTTGGATGAACGAATTAGCATTGCTCCAATTTGGATTAACGAATTAGCATTGCTCCAATTTGGATTAACCTTAAAACTATGTTGTCAATAGCACGAATTAGCATTGCTCCATTTTGGATTAACTTATATTGAATGAGTTTATAGGTTTCATATCAAAATTGAGATGCACTTAGTTATTAGTGTTGGTAAGTTTGAATTATTCTCCAAATTGGGTGAACCTTAAAACTAAGTTGTCAATAGCATGCAATAGCAGCAGAACAGAATGGTAGGGTCAGCAGTAGGGCAGCGGTTCCTAATTGTTGCGAAATTGCGGTCAGCTAGTGGGATTTTGCGGATAAATTCCTCATTTGTTTATGTTATGACAACCATTAATTTGTTGTCCAATACTTTTTTCTCGGCCGATTTTGTTCATTCGGCCGAGGAAGCTGGAGAGTATAAGGAGATTGTTGTGAGTATATTGAAGGAAGTTGGAGTGCCGAATTTGTCGGATTTTTTTCCCATGTTGAAGGTTTTTGATTTGCAGGGTATTAGAAGACGTTCTGTTGTTTCTATTAGAAAGGTTTTGACTATTTTTAGGAGATTTGTTGGGGAACGGTTGAAGTTGAGAGAAGGTACTGGTTCTATTGGAAATGATGATGTGCTTGATGCTTTGCTTAATATTTCTTTGGAGGATGGGAAAATTGAGATGGATAAAGATGAGATTGAACATTTGTTGCTGGTATGTTTTCTACAACAACATTTGTTGAACACTACAACACTATGGTATAGTTTTTTGACTAAATAATTATGGTATGCCAGAATATATTTGTTGCAGGAACAGACACAAGCACGTACACACTAGAATGGGCAATGGCAGAGTTAATGCACAATCCAGAAATCATGTCAAAAGTACAAAATGAACTCGAACAAGTTGTTGGCAAAGGTATTCCAGTCGAAGAAACAGACATAGCCAAATCACCATACATGCAAGCAGTTATAAAAGAGACGTTTCGTGTACATCCACCAGTTCCGTTATTACTACCTCGCAAAGCAGAAACAGATGTTGAAATTGGTGACTACATTATTCCAAAAGATGCACAAGTTTTGGTTAATGCTTGGGTTATTGGCAGAGATCCAAGTAAATGGGAGAATCCTAATGCTTTTGTGCCGGAGAGATTTTTCAATAGTGAGATTGATTTTAAAGGACATCATTTTGAGCTTATTCCATTTGGGTCTGGTAGAAGAATTTGTCCTGGTTTGCCTTTGGCTATTAGAATGTTGCCTTTGATGTTGGGATCTTTGGTTAATTGCTTTGATTGGAGACTTGAAGATGGATTGAATGTCGATGATTTGAATAAGGAAGATGAGTATGGGATTACCTTGGAAAAATCTCAACCTGTGAGAATTGTTCCAATCAAATTGACTAAGCAATAATTTAGAATATATGCACGGTTCTTTCATGATGCAGCGGTTTGTAAACTCTTGATGTTGTCTGACCAAACAATACTGTTCTCTGTCAATGGAACTAGGATTTGTGGTCGTGCCAACATTTTACTTACTATAAGAACTAGTTATAAATAATGTGTAATTTGTTTTTGTTTTAATTTGGTGAATGGATATGGTCTTCTTCATAGAGTAAATTTAGGTTCTATTATGTTATTTGAATAAGTCACACTGTTATGGTCCTGGGAGGATCATGGGTTCAGTTTAGGTTATCCTAGTTTATAGGATTTGTTTATTTCGATTTTCTAGGCACCTTCTATCCGTTTTATTAGGCACTATCTAGTGCATTCAGTTTCTTTTGCATTTTCCTTTGTAAGTCTATTTATAAGCCATGATTCCTATTAATATATAAGTGAGAGAGAGAATAATGATTACTTTGGCAGGGTGATGGATAATAATTTAAATAAAAAATATATATAATAGAAAAATAAAAAAAAATCAAGACATAAACAAAAGTCATGGCGATAGTAGCGAACCGTCGTAATCAACAATTAAAAATAATCAACAAAAGTCATGACGGTATCGAACCGTCGCCATAAACAATTTAATCAATTTCAAAAGATATTCACGACAGTATCGAACCGTCTCCATCAATAATTAAAAGAAACTCAAAAGATAGTCACGACGGTATCAACCCGTCGTAAACTTGAACGACAGTTTTTGTAACCGTCGCGAAATAGGTTGGGGACACACACTTCTACGACGGTAAAGCAACCGTCGTGGAAAGCAAATTGCGACGGTTTTAACCATCGTAATCTACAAAAATACCTGTCGCAATCTGCCAATTTTCTTGTAGTGCATGCTTCCCCAACACACACCCCATTGAATTGTCGAGTACTGTCAAGTATAAAATTAAAGGTCTTCCTTCAACTGGAGGCATCAGAATAGGTGCCTCTTGGAGATATTCTTTGATCCTTTCGAAAGTGGACTGACATTCATCCTTCCATCTTACCACTTGATCTTTCTTTAGTAACTTGAAGATTGGCTCACAAGTAGCAGTCAGGTGTGAGATGAATCGGGCAATGTAGTTCAGGCATCCCAAAAAGCCTCTGACTTCTTTCTCAGTTCGGGGAGCTGGCATCTCCTGTATAGCCTTCACCTTTATGGGATCCACTTGAATACCTTTATCACTAACGAAGAAACCCAGCAGCTTACCAGACCTCACCCCGAAGGTGCACTTGTTCGGGTTTAACCTCAGCTTGTACAATTTCAACCTGTCAAATAGCTTCTGAAGATGGTCGAGGTGTTCTTCCTCAGTCTGGGACCTTGCAATCATGTCATCAACATATACCTCAATCTCATGATGAATCATGTCATGGAACAGAGCGACCATGGCGCGCTGATACGTTGCCCCAACATTCTTCAATCCGAAAGGCATGACTTTGTAGCAAAAGGTACCCCACTGCGTAACGAACATTGTATTCTCCATATCTTCGGGAGCCATCTTAATCTGATTGTAACCGGAGAAACCATCCATAAAGGAGAAGACCTTATGCTGGGAGGTATTGTCAACCAGAACATCGATATGAGGCAGAGGGAAATCATCCTTGGGGCTCGCCCTGTTCAGATCCCTATAGTCAACACACATCCGCACTTTACCATCTTTCTTCGGCACCGAAACCACGTTAGCGACCCACTGCAGGTAAGAAGTAACAGCTAGAAAACCGACATCAAACTGTTTCATTACCTCAGCTTTAATTTTCTCAGACATCTCTGGGCGCATTCGGCAAACTTTCTGTTTCACTGGAGGACAGTCTTCCTTAGTTGGCAAGCGGTGAACCACAATATCGGTATCCAACCCGGGCATATCTTTGTAAGACCAGGAAAATATCTCAACATAGTCATGCAACATTTGTATCAACCGTTGCTTGACTCTAGGCTCCAAATTTGCATCGATCTTGACCTCTTTCTTGTCTTCCTCGGTACCCAGATTTACTGTTTCCACTGGCTCTTCATGCGGCTGTATAGCCCTCTCTTCCTGAAGTAACAATCTAGCAAGTTCACCAGGCACTTCGCAATCATCCTCGCATTCGTCCTCGGCTTGGTTGATCGGACTTTCGAAGTCATAACTGGCAGTAGCAGAGTCGTTATCAGTGGGATCCAGAGTGGATGTAGACCTGTATATGTGAGTATGTGTAAGACAAATAGTTGTTTTGCAAGATAGAAAAGAAAAACAAGGAGCGCAAAATTCGTAATACAAGAAAACGTCCAATTCTTTATTGATGATATATGGAAATGAAAAATATAAAGCCCTCACAAACAGAGCCACGGTGTCTCGGGCAAGGCACCGGGCCGTAAAAGTTTCAAATTGTCTGTTACAAATCTCAAAACAAAAGTCTTATTACTGTGTAATAAAATAAATGGGCATGAAGTCCTTTGTCGTACAATTGTTCAAGCTACCATTGGTAGTCGGGTAAATCCAGCTATCAATATCTGATCCTTTTTCAGCATCCTCAATTGCCTTCACTCCCTGGTCATGCTTGGGCATGGGAGCAGTTATGACGTTAGGTTTTTCCAGCGCATCAAACTCAATCTCTTTAGCTTCAATCAAATCTTGCACCTTATTCTTCAAGGCCCAGCAGTTGTTTGTATCATGCCCTGGGCTATCAGAGTGAAAGGCACAACGGGCGTTAGGATTGTACAGCGGCGATGTGGTGCTGGGATTCTTCAGAGCTTCCCTTAGAGTCACCAGGTTGGTTTTCAACAATTGCGGTAGAATTTGTGATAAGGTCATACTGAGCCGAGTATACTTCCTTTGCGGTCTTTCTACTCTTTGCTTATTGTTGCATTGTGGGGCAATAGTAGGTCTTGATATTACTACCGCATTAACCGCTTGGCGGTGCTCAGGTCGGTTTTGGCTCCTCGAGCTGTAAACTGCGCTAGCTTCTTTTCTGAAAGGCTTCTTCTCTGTACTTGATAAAACACCTTTCTGTATCTTGCTACTTTTAATACCAACTTCAACTCTCTTCCCAGTCATAATCAATTCAGTAAACCCGGACGATGAACTACCGATCAAATGATTTAAGTATGGCCCAAACAAAGTCTCAAGAAACATATCCACCAACTCCCTATCAGCCAGAGGGGGTTGTACTCTTACAGCAAGATCTCTCCACTTCTGAGCGTAGTCCTTAAAACCTTCGCTCGCACCCATAGACATACCCTGATGTTGGGTACGCGTGGGAGAAAGGTCGGCATTATACTGGTATTGCTTATAAAAAGCGGCAGCAAGGTCCTCCCAGTTGCGGATATTAGCTCCTTCTAGTTGATAGAACCATTAAAGTTGAGTCCGTGACAGACTATCTTGAAAGAAATGAATCCAAAGGTTCCTATCAGCAGTATATGGTTGAATCTTTCTGACGTACGAGCGAAGGTGTAGCTTTGGGCAGGAGACCCCGTCGTACTTAGCAAAGACAGGAGCTTTAAACTTGTGTGGGATCACCACACCATATGCCAAACCCAAATCTCCGAAGTCTAACCCAGATATCTTCTGGATCTCCATTGTGCTCAACCGGTCTTCGAGTTGCTTATACTTATCCTCGGCAGGAGGATACTGGTCTTCATCAAAGTCAGTGTCATTGTCAGAAACCACAGGGCTAGGACCCTTCCTTTCCTCTTGATTCTCTCCTCCGCCAGATGAATGAGATAGATCAGCTTCCTGTCTCAACCTGTTCCCAAATTTGTGACCCATGTTCAAGAGGACCACCTTCTTCTTCTTCTTCTTCTTCTTCTTCTTGTCCTTCAAGATAAGAGTCTTCAAATCTTGTTGACTCTTGGCCAAGTTGAAGAACATTTCCTGGAACTGAGCATTCTGAGCTTGCAGAGCCTTGATGGCTTGATCAGTAGGTGTTTCAGAAGACATGTTGTGCTGGAATAAACAGCGAAGAAGATGAGAAACCTGTAAGGGTACATGTGATGAGGTGCATGGGAATGGAATGCGTATAAAATGATTTTAAAGACTCAGGGAGACTCAAATTTGTAAACAGAAATAAAACACACTTTATTAGATTAAAACTTGTAACAATGTTTAACAAATGTCTTTAAGGCGTTACAAAAGAAATATTGAAAAGAAAATCTAAACTAGAAATAGTAAAAGACATCAGAAATCCTAAGGTCGTGTTCCTTTCATGCTGACATAATCGTTGATTGTCCTCTCGTTCTCAAGCTGCCTTGTAAGCTTCAGGATCTTCCTCTCCTGCTCATGATATTTCTCTCTGTAGGTATCCCTTTCTTCCCTTAACTAGATCCAAGATCTCTTCAATGCCCCAATATCAGTAGGCATGTATGCATGGATGAACGTATAAGGAACCCCTTCTTCATCAGTATGCTCTACAATCACCGGCAAAACGGCTTCATATGGCATCCCTAACTTTTGAGCACGGGCTCGAACCCACTGGAGGTACGGTTGAATCGGGAGAGAAGTCTTCATTCCTAGCTCATGTGGATCAGACCTGTTCACCCTGTCCCAAGCTCGTATAATCCTGCGGCGATGTCCCTCAACACCCCCTTTGAAGTCAAAGACAATGCCTGTAAGAAGCAGCTCATGAGGATCGTCCCTTCGAGCTCGTCCAAACTATCATAAGGCCAAACAAGGATTATAGGTTATTCCTCCTCTAATTCCAAGCAATGGAACATTGGGGTATTCCCCACACCGATCAATAACAGCTACCCTTTCCATATCTTTAGTACTCCAAAGGATGTCCGTATGAGCAATGGACATGATTCTGTAAGCCCAACCCATACCTTCCTCATTCTTCAATACAAATTTGGGGAGGTGAGAAATAAATCACCTCGTCAGAAGCGGTTTACAACACATGAGAGTTCCCCTTCTCCGAACAGTACGGGTATAAAGAGCATGCAGAATATCACCTAAGAGAGTAGGCACTGGGTTACGAGACATGAAAATCTTGACTGCGTTCACATCGATGAAAGAA